ATGTAAGTGGATTTTCAAGAGGAAAATGAAAGTGGATGGTGCTATTGATAAATATAAGGCTAGGCTTGTAGTAAAAGGATACAAGCAACGAGAAGGTCTTGATTATTTTGATACTTATTCATTGTTACTAGAATTACATCCATAAGGATGCTAATTGCCATAGCAGCGGTGTATAAGCTTGAAATCCATCAAATGGATGTTAAGACGGCCTTCTTAAACGGAGATTTGGAAGAAGAAATATATTTGGAACAACCCGAAGGGTTCATTGTTCCAAGTCAAGAGAAGAAAGTATGTCGGCTTATCAAGTCACTCTATGGATTGAAACAAGCACCGAAACAATGGCATGCTAAATTCGACCAAGTCATGTTGTCGAATGGTTTCAAGATCAATGAGTGTGATAAATGTGTATATGTTAAGAACACTCATAATGGTTTTGCCATTTTGTGCTTATATGTAGATGACATGCTTATAATGGGCAGCGATAGTGAGGTTGTTAAGGCGACCAAACGCATGCTCACAAGTAAATTTGATATGAAAGATATGGGGGTTGCAGATGTTATTTTAGGAGTTAAAATCCATAAAACAAATGGAGGATTAACTCTATCACAATCCCATTATATTGAGACGATTCTTGGAAAGTGCAAGAATCTAGATATTGTACCGGTAAAGACTCTTATAGATGTTAATTTACATCTTTCGAAGAATACTTGGTGAAAGTAAGGCTCAAAATGAGTATGCTAGTATACTAGGGTTTAATGTATGTCATGAACTCGTACTAGGCCGGACATAGCTTGTGCGGTTAGCAAGCTAAGTCGATTTACAGTTAGTCCAAATGAAAATCATTGGAAAGCAATGAAACGTTTATTGGGCTACTTAAAGCATACTCAAGATTATGCTTTGCATTACACGAATATCCAAGGTACTTGAAGGATCTTGTGATGCAAATTGGATAACCGGCACTAAAGACACAAAATCGACAAGTGGATATGTATTCACACTTGGGGAGCGGCAGTGTCTTGGAAATCATCCAAACAAACTTGTATTGCTAGATCCACTATGGAATCGAATTTATTGCTTTGGATAAAGCGGTGAAGAAGCGAGTGGCTTCGAAATTTCTTGGAAGATATTCCTAATTGGCCTAAACCAGTGCCCATTGTATGTATACATTGTGACAGCTCAAGCGGCAATAGGAAGAGCAAGGAATGTCATGTATAACGGTAAGTCTCGACACATACGTCGAAGACATGACACAAGTAAGACAACTTCTCTCTAGTGGAATTATCACCATTGACTATGTGAAGTCAAAAGATAATATTGCGGATCCATTGACAAAAGGCCTAAGCTGGAGAGATGGTTGCAAAAACATCAAGGGGAATGGGTTTAAGGCCTATAAACAAGTCATCATAGCGGAAACCCTACCTAGTTGACTGGAGATCCCAAGATCTAGGTTCAAAGGGACAACTAAGTTATGAAGACAGTGTAGAGTCTTGTTAAATTTTTACTCATTCCCCGATGAAGACAAGTACTAATATGTGAAGGTTAAGCAAAAGCTTTTAATGATTCCGAATTGAGTATGTGATATACTATATGTTCGAAATCACCTATGTGAGTGTGAAGTGAGGGCCGCTTCGTGAGAATTGAAAAGGCCGAATTCTCTAAAACACTCATGAGACCGAGCGGTGTTCATGGCAAAACGAACACAACGGTGAGAACCAATTTTGTTCGAGAAACAGCTTGTGTGATTTCTATTGTCTAGGCTTACACCAAAGGTCGACAGTTCAAAGACATCAAGTCTATGATTGACGAGTAAGTCCAGATAGGTTTCACTAAGGAAAGTTCAAGGTCTCGTACTACTTATCCCGATGCAACGTTTTCTCATGGAATAATCGCACATTGCATCTCATGCATACACAAAGAGTCATGATATCCGAACTTCTCATTCATGTGGGGGATTGTTGGGATTTTGGAACCAAAATCCCATAGAATGAATGAGAAGTGTGTGGGTGAAAGTGTCCCACATAGGGTAGAAGAGAGATGGAAGATGGGTTCAAATAGTTGAGCCTCACAAATGGGTTTGGGCCCCAAGGGGTACCCCACTTTTGTGGAAGAGAGAGGACCTACGTCAAGCTAGGTCGGTCCACCTCCGCGCGCGCCGCCGCCGCCGTCCGTCCGGCCGGCTCGGCTCGGTTCGGTTCCGGTCCACTCTCTATCGGTTTTTTATTTTTTAGTTTTCGAAGACACGTTGTTTAGAAATTATTTATTTATTTATTTATTTTTGGACAAACAAACATGTCTGTTCGTGAGGTTCGTTCGCCCGAACGAAAATCGAAGCCTCTTCGGCTTCATTTCACGAACCAAACCGGTTTAAGGCTCGGCTCGTGATTATTCACATGACCGAACAAAATTGTTCGGTTGGTGACTCTTCGGTTTCATCCTTCTATATCCGAAATTCCTTGATGACTATTCATTCATACATGACCGAAAAAGTGCTCTTGGCATTTCATATTTTCGCGGCACTTCACGGCTCTCTCATTCTTCATCATTTGTCATTTCGTGCGATTGTTCGCAAAATTGCGTTCGTTGCGGTCCTCCGGATACGTACCGCTCGGAGGAACGAGATCCGTTCTATCCTGGGAGACGATTGTCCAATATCCTCGTACCGATTGAGGGGCCAAATTCGTCTTAAGGACACGACGTTAATTCGTTGGGCTCGGATCAACATTTTGCTTATTTGGTTGTACTGCTTTCAGGTCAGTTTTCCTAACGCTTGATTTTAATTTCTGATATATACGAACTTAGCCGACAACAAGCCCGGCCAAGTTTTGATGGATGTTGGTGAGGAGCAGCATTTGCCCTTCAAACCCTACCTCAATCGCCTTGACCCGGCTGAGTTCGACAGGATGCCGGGAGACACCATCCACCACCTCGATTAGGGAGTCACATTCGAGATTCCTTTTGTACATTGATACGTATCGAGAGTGTTGCCACCAAGAGAAAGCTCAAATGAGGGCTCGTCGACATATCATGTCAAACTCATCATTCGCTCATAAATTTAAGTCAATAAGTTATGGCCAACTACGATATATTAACCACTCCATATTACATCACATCTCTAACGTAGGACTCTTCTGCCTCACCCCCATCAAACGCACACCTTAACAACAGTAGTTGTGATCGACTTGCTTGAAGGAAGTTGAAGTGAAACTAAAATCTCCTGCAAATGAAGCTAACGTGGAAATACATTTTGATATGCTTATTTGATGTAACCCAGAGTGATGATTTGCTCTTCTTCTATTTGACTAAGGAAAGCCAAAATTTGAGATCGATTCATTTAGTGAGTTCATGGGGAAATTGAGAGGCTATGCAGTTGGCAGACAGATTTTCTGAATTGTGTCTCTTTCCCTCATTGGTGCAACTTCTTAACGAAAGAGATTCATGTTGCTCCCACATTTCATTTGTGACAACTAGTGTTCCTTGCATGTTTGTATCGTGTCTGTGGGTATGTCGATGGACAATGTGACAGCGTCTCATGCGTGGTCGTGTCTAGACCTTAAGGGAGACGTGGCCATTGTGGATGTGGTACGTACGAGGGCCTGCCTAAATGCAGCCACTAACTAGGCTTCAATTTTGAAATAAGTCAAATTATATGGGAGGAAATTGTCCAATCGGTCATAAATCTATTAGATGAATGACGGTGTGCCACGTAAGAAGGCCGACGATGGCTGGAACATCATGGTCGGGAATTTTTGACAAAAATTGACTAGAATGATTACATTGGAAATTCGCACGAAAATTTAGAATTAAATTGGTAAATTCAAAAAGTTTATGACCGAATTGGCATCCTTAAAATAAGTTCAAAGCTGACAAAGTAATTTTTTTCCAAACAAAATTATTGTCACGTTATTATTTGTGAATAGCAAAATCAAATGAGTCGTTTCCTGGAAGAATCTCGTATTGTTTTGACATGAATTTGCATTTAATCATCTTTATGCAAATACTCATTTCGGTATCTCAACCAAACCTCAATCATCAATCGACGGTCAAACTTGATCAAGACGTTGAGGGAAGTATCTTGCATGATTTAGGATATTTACACGCGATAAGGGGAAGATTGTCCAAAAAGTCCTAAACCCATTGCATTTTTATCAATTTAGTTTTAAACCTTTTAATTATGTCAATTGAATCCTAAACATTTTTACGTTTTGTCAATTGAGTCAATCCAGCCAATTTTGGCTAGAAATCGATGACGTTGACACTAGCCGTTCTATGTGACACAACCGACGTTAACGTGAACAATTTTTAATAATATTTTATTATTTTTCAAATTTTTTATTTTATTTTTTCCTTATTTTCTTGTCTTTCCCTTTCTTTTTTTTCTTCCCTTCTTCCTTTGGCCAATCGCTGGGCCTCGGCTTGACCTCCCCTACGGCGAAGCTCCTGAGTCGGCCAACGACAACATGGTTAGGCAAGGCTTGCCCAAGGTTAACCTCGCTAACCCTTGCCTCTAGCCGATCATTGGCCATCGCTAAGACTCGGCAACCGACTAACAGAAGAAGGGAAGAAAAAAAAATGAAAGAAAAAATTATTAAAAATTTTTCAACTCCTAGAAACCAACCCAAAAAAAAAAAATCCCGCCTTCACGCAATTTCAGATTTCCAAAATTGCAAATCCGGATAAACTCAATTGGCAAAATGTGAAAAGGTTTAGGATTAAATTGGCACAATGAAAAGGTTTAGGATTGAATTAGTAAAAGAGCAATAGGTTTAAAACTTTTCAGACAATTTTCCCTTCCTTTGAGTCCCAAACACTATTTTCGAGCCCGATTCACCTGAACACAGCCCAAAGCCCACCCCGTCCAGCCCGATCATTAGGCCCGCAAATTTCCCGTTAAGCCCGGCCCGAGCCCGAGCCCGAGCGGCCCACTGAACAACCCAATGAGGTCGCTCCCCTTGGGAAACGGGTCAGGTCAAACGCAGAGTATCCCGTGGGCAACAAGTCGCAACCCACCATAAGAACCCCCCCTCCGCATCGCTCTCCTCCGTCGGATCGGACGCCGCCGCCGCCGCCGCCACCACCAGTCCCCCGCAGCACCGGGAGCTCGCGCCGCTCTTTCGCCTGCTGGCGAGCCAAAGAGAAGCGTTTTCGGCTCCCTTGAGGCGAGATCCGCGAGCTGCTGCGAAGAAGATGGGATTGATCAGGAGCTGCTTCTCGTTCTTCGTGGGGACGGCCTTCGGCGTCTACGTGGCGCAGAACTACAACGTGCCCAACATCAAGAAGCTCACGGGGACCGGCCTTCTCATCGCCAAGCACATCGAAGAGACTTATCGGAAGCCCAAGAAGAGGGACGACGCCGACGATTAGGATCGAGATGTCGTTCAAGAATTGCCCGGTTTTCGTTTCCTTATTCTTTCTTTTTGGTGTTCTTTAGTATAGCGTTGATTTTATCGATTCGATATAGTATGCGATTGTGGATGATGATGGGTCCTGAATCTCAAAGAGATACGAGTGGTGTGAGAGAGAGTGGCAGATCGATCCTGTGTACAAGCTTCGCTTGAAATTGAGTGGATGTATGCAATGTTTCTGAGTTCGGTACGCCTTGGGATTTCACTGGGTCCAGCCCAGTCTTGCCCTGCAAATGCGTAAAGGCGAGACCTTTAGCGATGTGCTTCATGGGATTCTGCAGAATGGTTTCAGAGAAATCGTCAATTGGTATGCGGGAAACAAGAGTTGTTCGATCTGGTCGGCTAAAATGGTCTGTCGATGAGATGCTTACTTTGTCCGCTGTTTAATATCGCTCGCTGTCTTTATTATTCTTAAAACTTATAATACAAAGTTAAAGGACATTACACTGTTACATTCAAACCTATGCGCGCACGAGCATACACTTGCTGCCTTTACTCCACCTGAACCTCCAACACATCCTTCCTCTCTCCTTCCTGCGCGTTGGGCACCACCACCTTCAGCACTCCGTTCCTCATCTCCGCCTTTATCTCGTCCATCTTGTACAGGTTCGGGGGCAGGTCGATCCTGCCGGAGTACCTCCGCACGCTCCCCTCGTCCCTGTCACCCGCCTCCAGCTCCCCGCCTTCTCCCCGGATGATCAGGGTGTTCTGCTCCACCGCCACCTTCACGTCCTCCTTGCTCAGCCCGGGCCTGTCGACCCGGAGCTTGAGGGCCTTGTCGTCCTCCTTCACGTCCCACCCTCTCCTCGACCCGCCACCGCGGGATGCTTGGAACGGGTCCTCCATCAGCTGGTCCATGAGGTTCAGGACTTGGCTGAAGCTCCTCGGGGGAAAGAAGGGATCGAACACGTCTGAACCACCACCATAATCGAACCGTTCATCAGCACAAATCAATTAGCAAAGTTTTGCTCATGAGCAAACATAGTTTTCCATGACAATTGAATACTAAAATACTAGATTCCTGACGATTTAGAAAAATCTCACTCTCTTCCTGAAGCAACAACGTGAGGAAACAGAGTAAGAGCACCAAAACTTGAAGCACCAAGAAGGATTTCTGATAAGTGACCACTTTACACTACGGAAAATGACCCCAGAACATTACAGCAGAGAAAATACAAACTATCAAATCCAACGTCAAGTTGACGGAAATAAAACGAAAGCAGGCGAGCGAGAAGAGGGTCAATTTAGCACCAGAGAAAGGAGCGAGGGAGCGATCACGGCGGCGGGACACGGAGCGGTCGGGGGCGGTCCGGTCGACGTCGACGGCTTTGCTTCCGTCGTCGTCGACTCTTGTCATCCGAGCGTCGGTGTTGAAGGAGCGTGCCGGCGTCAGAAACGGAGCCACCGAAGCCGACCGGACCGGGCTCGCGAGCTTGCTGCTGGAGACGGCGGAGGCAAGAGCCCTCCTGAGAGCGAGCGGGGACGCCATGGCTGCACAATTCGATGATCGTGGGGTGGTTTGTTTCCGGCGGCGGTCCTTGCTTTATGCGGAGATATACGTGGAAGCGAAGCGAGGTGATGACATATAAATGCAGAGAGAGGTGGATAAACTTCCAGAGTGAGCAGAGAGACCGACGAACTGCTCTCTCTCTCTCTCTCTCTCTCTCTCTCTCTCTCTCTCTCTCTCTCTCTCTACTAGTTTCCCAGAATAATAAAGCAATTAAAATCATAAAATCATGGTGATTAGGGTTAATACCATAATAAACTTCAAATTATGCTCCGTACGACTCAAATATCCCGATCTTTTTTTTTTATTACTGAAAATTCTAAACTTGCTAGTTATGACACAAAGACTTTTTTTGTTTCATAATGAAACCTTCAACTTATATAAATGTGACAAATATACTCAGAATGTAACTGAAATATAGGGTATATATTCACACATGTATAAGTTGTGTTTTTTCCTGACAAAACAAGAGTTGAGGATATTGGTGATAAAAAAAAAGGTTTGGGATATTTATATCACTGTTGGCATAGTTTTGGGTATTTTACAATGTTTTCTCTTGTGGTTATGTATGCTCCTCCTTTTAAACTGCATTACACTCAACTCCATATGAACCGAAACTTTGCTCCTAGAATCATCTTTTACGTTCAATGGATTCTGGAATTGAGTGTGCAGAGACCAGCAAAACCAGCACCATGAGTCAAAGCATAGTGTCACAAGCTAACAAATTCTTAACTTCGAAATAGCCTGTGCAGAGCCCGTGACAAATGGTATTAGAGCAAGATCCTTCCAGTAGGTGAGTGATTCAGGCAATGCCTATGGTCTACCCGGTCCTATGAGAGCGAGGAGTGATCGCCGGGGTAAAGAGGGCCCAGACAAGGTGCAGCTCTTGTCAAGCTTCTAGGATGGTAATAGGGGGATTGGAAAAAATCGAATTGCTCATTGGATACGGAAAACATTTCTAGATCAATAGGCAAATCTCAAGAGAAAGTCTACTACCACGTTTCCAACAAGAAGAGAAACAGAGAAGCTTAGTAGGCGAAAGAAAATGTGTTGAGGGAGCGCAGTTGACACATAATGTCACACTTGTCAAGGAGAATATAAGTAACTGGAGATTCGCAAACAGCTTTAATTAGGGGAAGCTAATAGTGGAGCGGAGTAACTTGTTCTATTGGATGAGCATTGGCCATTCATTCATATAAGTCCTAAGGGTGTGGTATTGATGGAGGTCGTTGCGGAATTGGATGGGGGCAAATGTCACAGATCGAATTCTCCAGTACCCTTGTGAGTTGAAGAATGAAACTTCATAGTATCGTGGTAAAGAGTGAGTGATATAAAAAAAAAATGATACAACCGATCAAGGCCTTTGTACTAAGAGTTCTATAATAGAAAGGTTATAAACCTAAAGCGCTTTGAAAACAAGATTGACCTTGCACAGATTGGTTGAAACTGATTATTGTACTAAAGTCTTCTGTATATCTCGCACGGGAGACTGAATGCTATACAATCCGATGTGAGAATGCAACTCATTGTACTACTCTTAAAAACAATCTTTAGAAGGAAGGCTGGCATGTCATTATCGGTTCACCAGCCGCCGCACGTGCTATTTCACAGCCAAGAATCTGTCTGCCCGTGACAATAGCTTGAAGCCTTGTTGAGGCCAAGAGCAAACCCCTCATCGCATAAACCCCGAGCTTGTCCCAAGAACGTTTTCTCTGCCTGCGTTTCAATTGCTGAGTAGAGCTGATCCAGCACAACATGAATATATAGGCAAGCCAGATGCAGGCGAGCATTAAAAGGATAGATTTATTTAACAGTTACTAGTCAGGACATTTCACAGCTATCTCCCAAAAGTTCTAACCACCAAAAAAAAAGAAACAAAAGAAAAGAGAAAAATAAACAGACCGATCAATCATCCTCTTCAAGTTACAGCAAAAAAGAATGCATCGACAACGAAAAGAACTCGCTAACTACCGATCCCGAGTTCCAGCAGCTACAGACCCATGACTCCACCTGAATTCAATTGGTTAACTTCACAACATGAAAAAACAAAACAAAAGAGGAACGCCAGGAGAGAAACCACCCCTTGTTCATTGTTTTGTTTCCTTTCGTCATCCCTTCCCTGAAGATCGGAAACAAAGAGGAACGCCAGGAGAGAAAATATTGTGAGAATTTAATCCGGTACTTCTCATTATGTCTTCTTCATGAAGTACCCCAAGATGATGCCAAGCAAACCGATAACGACAACAATCATAAACGAGATGCCGCCTTGGCTTTTGCTGCCCTCCCGCCTTAGCAGCTCCTGCCCAGAAAGAAAGATAACAAAGAAAAAGTAAGCAGAGTGTGATGTTTAAGGGGACAGGAAGAAGGCCAGATAATTTAAAGCGATGACAGGAAAGTTTCAGAGTTTTATCTTTTACTATCAATGATTCTTGAGTGAAAAATGGAATGTATGTCAGTCCCATGATCTTACAAGACAATGTCCCTTCGGGGGCATAGATCATAACAGGTCGACACAGTGGATCATAACAAAAGATATAGACAGAGCAGCACAATTAAGTGTAGGCTGTCTAGCCTTATGTGTGATCTCGCTAATTGCTATACAACGAGCTATAAGATTATACGCTTAACAGAGAGGCACAGCCTTAAAGAGCCCTGAAGCAATCAAAAAAGACTGCACTGCCAAACATTTTAACTTCCATATCATGGTCATTGGGATTCCACAGTAACCACCAAACTAAGGACACAGATTCGCCGCATGTGCCATGTACATGTATTCAACCATGGGTGTTCACATGTGTTTGAGAGAGAGATTTGGGTTCGTAATAGTGGCTAATGCTCTTTAGACCTTCTATTTTCTCTTTCTTTAATGTTTAGCTGTGCTTGAGCGGGGGGAAATTTGGGAATGTTCACCATCACCAAAAACATACGACATCAACCCAAACAACCATTTGGCAAAGTGAAGCAAATTGCAGAGTCCCAGATAAAGTAACCCACCAGTTCTTGACGAAGCTTGTTACTTTGTTGAAGAGCATTATTCTTTTCCTCTGTCAACTTTTTTATCAGAGCTCTTGCCTGCCAATGGATCGAAATGTCAGACTTCCCACGATCCAAGCACCATCATGAAAAGGAAGGAATTTAAAACAAAGGCACAACCGCATTTCCTTCTGCAAACCTCTTTCCATCTCTTTTGTAGAATAAATCAACACGCAGACAATATAAGCACGTGAGAACTAGAGGGAGAGCAATTCTGAGAACTTTTTAGTGCACGTATTCCCTTAGAAGCCAACACATCTTGTTCGGTGATCTACACTTGGTACTTAAGTTTTTTGTTATTACTTCTTGACCGGAAAAATTTAGTTGGCCATCACTCAAATTTAACAGGGAAAACATAATTTCTATGTTAATCTTCCATCTTTATCTATTTATGTAACGAGGTATCTTCTGCTCTTCATCCAAACTATGAACTGCTATCATTCTTATTCCTTTGCGTCCTTAACAAGAAGGAAACAAACCAATGTCTCCCATCCAATAGCAGCATCATTATTCCTCACAGATCAAAATCGATGTATGCATTGTCCTTCTTTTGTTTTTTTTCTTTGGGCCAAGCAAAGATGCACAAGTTACCTATAGAAAGATAGATGGGTTATTGTATCAGTTGCCATTGCATTAGAAGTAATATTACTTCTCCCCAGTTATTTTACCTCGGCTACAAGTATGAAACAAAGAGAATCACTCACACTCAATGAATGAACATCATGTCATGTCAGCAATATTTGTCTGGAAAAGTTCATGTTACAAAATCTATCTCATTTGACATATATGAACAATAAATGTAATTCAAACTGCTTTTTGCAATGTGTCACAAGTTTCTGTGATCAATTCTCCTCGGGGCTTGTCATGTGCTATTAAAGTTAGACTAGAACTTAAACACGAATTAGAATGGTACAAGAGAGTGAGGACAATGAGAGATCGGCCCTAGAGTGTGATAAACGGACAAGGATAGGAACAGCGATTTATGTGGTAAGGTCTGAGAAGTGAGTACACGGGAAGCCATTAGGCAAAGGAGGAGGAAAGAGACGAATAGATTAAATCTCACACACAATTTCAAAGCAATCGCCTGAAACTCCACTGGAAACATTTATAGTCTCCACAGATAATGAAAAAGTTGCTTAACCTCATCTTGCACGAAAATAAACAGGATAAAAGAGAGGGGTGACAACTAAAAATGTGATTTATCAAATATGCATATCCATCAAAACTAGATGTTTTATCAAGCCAATTAACATCAACAGCAATATACAACCATAACTAATTCCAGACAGAATATGGGCACGCTTCCAAGTTTGCATATGCAATGCACATAGCATTATACACAAAGAAACAATTTACCTCAACAGATTTAACATCAACAGCAATATGGGCACGCTTCCAAGTTTGCATCAATTTAACATCAATGGCACTATACAACCATAACTAATTCCAGACAGAATATGGGCACGCTTCCAAGTTTGCATATGCAATGCACATAGCATTATACACAAAGAAACAATTTACCTCGACAGATTTATCTTGAAGCTCGTCATACAATCTTGTAACCTGCAGTCACCAAGGATAACATCATAATCCGAACGATTTTCTTATTCTGGGTGCAAAAAATAGCTAAGTTCAGCAGCTTAAACGGAACTATTCAATACTTACAGAAGCCACCTCAGAACCATTGATGTTGCCATTGTCAGACACGGAACCCCTTGGCGAAGAACCTTCTTCTGATCCTTCTGGAACTGGAGAAGGTGGCTGAGGAGGCGCAACGTAAACCACCCGCAATTTGCATTCCTCGACCACATTGCCTGACTCCTTATTGAACTAAAGCAACCCCAATCCGTAATTTCAGCAGCTTGATCATGAACATGGGAAACTGAAAGAAAAGAACCAATACAAATGCTACGATGAGCTCACCATTTCAGCAGTAATATCCTTTGCAGTCGTGCCATCATTCACCTTCACACTCTGTAGAAGAAATTTATCTTTGCATTGCATGTCAGCAGGAGCCTCCTTTTGCGCTTGCATAGTAACTACACGAAGACACATTTCTCAAAAAAAAAAATACATAAAAAAACACGGCGACATACAACGATTCCGCCCGCCTCGCAAATCCAAGCAAAAGGGCGACACGAAATGGAGAATCCACAACAGCAAATGAACTTGGCCGCGAAATGACAGGTTCCGAGTACCTATGACATCGCATGTCGACCGAGGCAAGACGACCCCCGTGTTTGGGCGAACGCAGTATTTCTTCGGATTGGTCGTTTTCACCTAAAACACGAAGATCTCAACATCAAAAGCATCCCGCACAGAGCCACAGGAAAATCCAAATGACCATCCCATCTGGCATTCTCTCCCCGTTATTCGCACCCACGAAACACATCAAAACGGGCATAAACAAAATTCGAATCCGACGGCCAAATCTCGACGCCCCCACGCCCCCCGTTTCGCACGGGATCACGGTCCAAAAACCAAAACCCGTCTTTCCCCCGAGGCGCAACCAAACGAGTTTCCCCCGGAGATTCGCAGCAAAAAGAAAGGGAAAAAGCCAAGGCGTTACCTTGAAAGCGACGTAGCTGTCGGTCTTGTTCGACAGCTGGAGAGAACACGAGATCTGCTTCTTCAGCTCGACTAAATCAAAACCCACGACAAAACACAGAAAAAAAAAAAAAAAAAAAACCAAAGGAAAGAAAAAAGAAACCCTCAGAAACACGAACGACGGAATCGTCGAAGAAGCCCAGATCGGGAAGAGAAACGTACAGGGGAACTTGAGCTCCAAGGGCTCGATGTCGAGGAGCTCGCCGGTGCTCATCTTCCTTCCCTTCCCTTCCTTCCTTCGTCGGGGAAATTCGTCGAAGCTGGGGAGGGGGGGATCTTCGTCGGAAGGAAAGATGGCGGAAGAAGGAATCAGATTGCGCAACCAACAACCACCCAAAAAAAAAACCAAAAAAAAAGGTTGGGTTTTTTTTTATTTTCGGCCCCCTCCCTTTTCGAAGTTCTCGAAAGTTCGCTCCTCTTAAAGGGGAGAGGGAGAGCCGGAGGAGAGAGATCGAGATTTGGAGGTTTCGGGGGAAAGAAAGATGGGAAAGATGGCGACGGTGATGCTGTTTTTAATTTGGCCCGATTCCCAAAAAAAAAATGTCAATTTTATGTTGGGTGGCAATTTTAATCCGAATTTTTTTTTATCTTGTAAAAAATCATAAATTTTCACTTAGATTTCAAATCTGACCACACAATTTGAAAATTTCATATCACGGAAGGGGAGCCGGATTTGGGACTCGAGTAAAAATTTGTATTTTTAATTAAGACAAAATGAAGTTCGGGCCAGAATTATCACTGCAAAGTAAAATTGGTGCTTGTTTTTTTGAATTAGCCGGTTTTTGATGTTTTTGGAGAAATGAAAATGTTAATGTTTTTTTTTCTTTCAGCTTTTTTTTTATGAGTATTTTGTTGCGGGGTTTGTTTAAGATTTGATGTGAAATTAAAATAAGTGGCCGAACGTGCGTGAATAATGAGGAAGGGATCGCTTTGCTGCGAAACCACTTCTTGGCCCTGTTTTAAGGACGTCTCCTTTTTCTACCTCTTTTTCTTCTTCTTTTTTTGCATTTTCGTGGGGGATGTTTTTTTGTTTCGAGAGGCGAAATAATTTAAACCGTGTTTATCGAATAATAATGATGATGACAACCGCTTAAAAATAGTGCGGCGGTACTTGTTAAGCATGCTTCGTGATATTGTACTTAATTTCGAATATCCATTATGCATATCAGAAGAAAAGATGTTATAGTAATTCTTTTTAATAATTTCTCGTGGAGTTGATTAATGAAGTGCCCCTTGAACGCTCGGGTATGAGTTTTTTGGCGTTGTATTGACGAATTCTGATTTCTTTAATCGGTTATTTAAAAGTCGAGACGATTGGATCTAGTATTGACATTTTTAGTCGAGAAACAGTGTGTCTGCATATGTACGTGTATTTAAAATTCTAATCTTTTTTACATTTTCAGACTTTGAAATTGATTTTGGAATTTGTATATTTGTTTTCAGGCCAAAGGCCCAAGCACCGAATAAAAAAGGGGTTAGGAAAGACTTCCTTCCGAATTCGTTTCTTTTCTTGAGTTTTACATGTTGGTCTTATTAGAGGTAAGCAAAATGAATCGCCCGATGAACCGAACCAATCAGTTTTGGGTGGTTCCCGGTTCCATGTATGAACCCACCCATCCGTACCACCCAAACCGAACCAACATAGATATATAAATCGTAATTAGACAGAGCTTGAGCATACTATGGCTGCTATGGATCTAGCTCCTTGTCATGTTTCTCCCCCTCCTCCTCCTTGCCCCCTTCACCTTCTCCAACCCCTTTGTTGACTCCTCCCCCTCCACTGCTGTCGCCGCCGTCGCCGCCCCCTCCTCCTCCTCTCCTTCCTCTTCATTGTCTCCTCTTGATTCGGGCGGATCTCACTCGCACAAGCAATTCCCCACCCACTGCACTCATTAGGTATGGCCAACTCTTCTGTACTTCGCTCACTGTTACTCGTTTACAAATCCGATGTTTGAATCGTGCACTGGATCTCAAGTTTTTATACTTCACTTGTGGATTCGTCGAGTTAATTAGAGATTTGATGCGAGGTGATTGTTCTTTTCTTCGCCTGAGCGTGCACAACCGAGAGTCGCCAATTCGAGGCCAATTCGACAAAGATAGAACTGGTTTTCAACTTAAAAGAGCTCATCTTTATTTTTCCTTCAACGTTTTTCTAGAGAGGGCCGATCCAGGAATCAGTGGGCCAGTTCTCCAGTTCCACAAATTAGGAACCGGCCCTTCTGGTCTAGTGATTAGTTCCAGCATAGGAATCAGTTCACCTTGAAATCAATCACTCTCAAGTCTTACTTGACAAAATAGGAAAGATAAATCAGTAAAAGAAGAGAGAAATTGCGATTGAAGACAAAATAACGAGAGAAAAAAAAAACATTAACAAATTTTCCTCGGATATTCGTTAAGGCACGTTTTAGTGAACCCAAATATTTTTTTTTTAAATTTCAAAACCCTAGAATTAATTGAGGATGAAATAAAGGTTGGTATTTTTTTTTTAAATAAAGGTGGGTATTGAATGGCACCGCCATCCGCGTCCTTAACACGGCGGTGGGAGGCGGAGCCCTATCAAATGCGCCGGGGCCCCACTTCTGATTAAGCAAAATCATCAAGGGAGGGCCCCACCTTCCCCTTCCCCCACTATCGCCGGGGGCCCCCACATCTTGCTCTCTTCATCCGTCCACACACATCATTGCAACCATAAAAACCGAAAAAACGGGCGAGTGACAGCTCCACGACACCAGATGTTCAATAGCTTGTCTGGACGAGCATGGATCTTTGCAGATTCTCGGAATGCGATCGGCTCGATCTATATAGAGATTTGGTCCATGCAATGCTCACGTAAATGGAGTCGATTCTCACTCTGATTCCAAAGGTGATTTCAAAAGAAAATCAAGAAAGGCCGAGGTTTCGGCCTCGCCTTTCATCACGGTCGGCGTTTCTCTCTCTCTCTCTCTCTCTCTGTAGCTTCCCCTCCCTCCAAGTTTGCAGGAATTTGAAATGGCTCTTGGTCTTTGAAACTTGGGCAGCTTTTAAGGTTGAAAAGACGAGCATTTGACGATAGCCATCCAAGAACACAGCTGCATCATCAGAATTCTCCCCGCAGAAGGACACTGATTCACATGATACAAAGTTTAAGGCAAGACAACCTGTCAAAATTCAATCCACATTTGAAGAGAAAAACAGAACCCTGGACTAAGGAAAAGATGAAGGAGAAATTAAGGAGAGTCGACTAACTTGGTGCACGCAGAAATGGCTTCCGAAGTCGTTCTCTCGAGTTACTGGGCCAGTGTATATGTTAGAGAATCTTGGTGTCAATAAAACTCAGGAATCAATAGCAATAGAACATGAGAAGATGAGTATAATTACGGCTGGTGAAATTCGTGTTAGTAAACTTGCCGATTTTTTCAAGTCTTCATTGTTTCTATTTCCTGTGATAGTCCTTGCAGAACCTGTCAAAGGCGATCCGGAAGATAAGAAAGAGCACAAAGGACATGAACTCGCCGGGGACAGAGAGGTTGTGAATTAACAGGACTCGTTACCATCTTAGTATTCTCGAGTGCAGCTTCCAGTGCTTGGATTTTCTGCCAAATGAAGATCAATACAATTTGGATATGTAAATGCTCTTTTTTTTTGGCTTTTGCCAAAGGAAGCGAAGGACTTTGATGAAAAGAAAAGTTTGCGGACGATTTCATGATGAGAGGGCGATTACAACTCACTGTCTTGATGTCCCCCAGGACATCTTCCAGAGCTTGGATCTTCTGCAAGAACGTCCCGTTCACGTCTTTTGTTCCAGCATCCTCCTGAGAATCCCTCTTCATTGAGGAAAAGAGGTCTAATTATTACGCAGTTATCATCCAAACACAAGGTTCGAGCCTGAAGCAAAGTAAACTGGGCCTCATCGACAGAAGTGTCAACAACAGAATATCTTATTTCTCCTGTCACTCAGCCGATGTTTGAGCATCCAGTAATGTGATGATGAAAATTGGAATTTCTGGAACGGAAAGTTGCTTACAGAAATAGGAACCGAGTTATCTTCAGGAACTACACTTTGAATCCCATTGGTGTTTTCTTCTCCTGCAGATGAAAATTCCTGCACTTATCGCGTTAGTCTCATATTCAATTGTATTATCTTGTGGGGTTGAAACTTCTCGGAATTGAGAAGTGGTTTTGAGATGTCCAAAGCTGACCTGAAGCATCTCTACGATCTCTGGATTATGCCACGGTCCTTTGTCGCTAAACAAGCAACCACCATAGTCGGAGCATGTGCAATTTCCACCCAGAAAACTCGGCAAGTTTCTGCACAACGAGGAGTGTACATATAACAGGCTTTTCTTTCGTCGTAATTCATTCGATGAATGAACCGCTTAAGTATGCAGGATCATAATAATTAATTAATTCCTCCTTCTAGATGTAGCACCAATATGCAAGTACCAGAACATACATAGGATCGATAACTTCGAGGAGATCGTTGAGATAGTCACATCCCAGCACCTGATAACAGAAAATCGGAGCGCTCAGGTTACAGATATTACTGAACATTTCGCTAGTGCAGTCTTTCGAGTCCTAAAATCAGTGTAAACCAATGGGGACTAATGACACTCACTCGGATCTTAACCAATGTACGCGCATCAAGAAAAGCATTGAGGGCTTTCCACAGCACCTTGAACCCGGATCCAGCATTGACAATGAAGAGCCTATGCAACGTCTGCGTTGAAAAATTATCTATTTAGAAAGGTAAAACCTTTGTCATCGATACTTGAATGTATGACATTACTAACACAATGCAGTAAAATTTTTAAGGCCATATATAAGCATTTAATCACTATCGATCAATCGAACTGAATTGTTTTCATTCACCCTGTATTGGATGCCCGAAGACAGCAACAAATCTGTTGAAATAGCCACTGGCTTCGCTTTTAGTGGACACAGTGCCGGACATACCTCTGGGTAGTAATTACTGTCGACTTTCTGAATCTCCATGAAGAGATATCTGGCGGGCTTTGAGAAATTCAACATCCCCTAAGAAAAATCCATAAATCCGAAAGTTCGAGTATCAAAATGTGCGGTAGAGGTCGTGTAAGACGCAAGAAACAAGAGGCACTTGAATTCACTAATTTGGGAACCAATCCTCCGTCAAGAATATTTGGCACAAGAACACACACGACACGCGTATGAATTTTTCAGGAACTGAGGCAGTGCGAGGAACTACATATCGATGTTCTTGAACAGATTGAACTGAAGCTCATATGACTAACCATTGCTGTTGCAAATTCCGCAAAACTCTCATTGAAAATTAGGTCCTTACCACTCCCTTAACGTCTAAAATACTTGTTGTGGACGCTACATGCCTCTTTGCTGCAATTGAACATGCCGGGTACCTCAGATTTTGTGTCTTCTCTTGTTCCGATACATGATATCTAACCAACCTATCTATAGTAATCACTTGCAGCAGAGAATTGAGGTCCACCATGCCAATCCTTTCGATATATATCGGCCTACCATATCTATCAACGCCATGATATCCCTGAGGATAACACTTCTTTACCTCAGAGTACTCTTCAAACTTGAACTCCTGCAGTATCTCAAAGAGATCAGTCCCTTGTAAGAGACGAACAAATAACTTGCAAGTCATATTAAAATGTGGCATTTGGACCAAATTAGGCGGCCCCGTTGCATCCTACGCGCTAAAAAAGCTCGAGATAGAATTGACTAGGCAAGCCATATTAGTTGACCTTCGGGTGTACTGCTTTAAACGAAGTCAAAGTCGAACATGTTCAAACAAAAATACTAGAACAATTAAAGAGGATAGAAAGTGTCGCCTTTGCAATCGCCTCGACCCCATAGTCTTCCCTCCACTTAAGATAGTTGAGAAAAACTTCTTTTGCTTTCCAAACATCAAAGTCCCTCATTCTTAGAAACCTGAAAACAGGAAAAGATAACATAGTACCGTTAAAACCCAGCAAATACCATCTTTAATAGCTATATCTAACACGAGTCTGTACTTGGTCACCAAATGACAGAAGTGATACTTCTATTGCCTACTCGACAGACGATTTATACTTACCGCAAAAGCGTGTCGTTGTTAATTTGTTTCCCTGGAGTATGGCCCTCGAGAAAGAGCAGTTCCCGAAAGGAACCGACAATTTGCACTTCCTTTGGATTATCGGGGACTCCCTCTAGATACATTTTTGTGCTTTGGCTCTTGGTCATCTTCTTCAGTGAATCCCTAAACTTCAGCGGCCGAGACAGTACAGACTTCATGCTTAAACTCGACAACCAGGACCGCTTTTTCTCTTTATTCCCCAACGCTTGCGAACACTGTGCCCCGCCTTGAGTGAAGGGCTGTTTTGCAGCATTCGGCAGCTCTTCCCCTTCTCCATCTCCTCTTATTATGGTTATGACTTTATCAGTTTCATCGAGCCCGCTCTTATCCATTCGCTCACCTTAAGCATTTAGCAACCTAGCTCGGTTTCTGATACTCGAACTTTAACCATTCGGCTGCTGGTGATAGGAAGGATCAAGACCCCAGTGGCAGGATCACAGACCCAATCTGTAATCAGCTACGACCCCGGATCGAATGAGGCTCTACCGAAACATGTCGATGATTCTATAAACTTTCTGAATAGAGAAAATTTGCAAGGGAAGGCAGGGTTGAGGATGAAAAGGTATCGGATGCAATGCTTCGTTTGGGATTTTGGAATGTGTGGAAATCAAGAGAACCTTGAGCTCCTTACCAAAAAAAAAAAAAAAAAAAAAAGAGAACCTTGAGCTAAGCAAGCAAATGCCATTCACACCAGGTTTGTTCCAACTAGAGGCGCCAAAAGAATTAAAGCTAGCTTCATCTTTTCTGAAGGTACGTACAGCTGTAAACCGGAGCACCACTCATGGGCCCTATTATATGGGCTCATGGGCCTTCAATATGTGCTAATGGGCTTAGGAGTTGGCCTGTTACCTCCTCATGTAACATGGTTTGGATAGTGGGCTTGGACAATCTGAAGCAAGAGAAAACTAGGAGATGTCTCGTGAATTGTGATAAAAAGATGTTACTTTCTGGCGAAAGTCAATGTTTGAGGATGGCCAAAAGGAGACTTAACTTTGACGGAACGATTGAAGTAAATTACCCCAAAAGTCTTAAACGTTCCGTATAGAGTCTAAAACGATCAGATGGTTTTTCGGATCACGTTTGCCCGTTCCCTCGATGGGATCTCATGCACACAGAAGACTATTGTCATCGATATGTGATATAACAGGACGTGTGCATGTCTATATCATGTTATGAAGTCAATCCTTATGATGTTGAAAGTAGCAGCAACCCAAGGAGATCGACAAAAAAAAGAAAAATTCCCCTCCTCCCACATTCCCAAATCAAAGCACAAAGACGAAATAATAATTCTACACAAATCTGCAATCTCAAAGATGGTACACCATTCGAGTCAGAATTTCCGAGGTCAAAGATCACACACGTCTTGCTGATTCCGCACCCGTCTTCTCCTATTCCAAGATTGACCTGTCATTTCGTAGACAATACTCAATCTCTCCTGATGAGATTCCACTGTGTTTTATCGACCCCCCACGCGAAGAAAAAAAAAAACAGTGAAAAACCAGCCCTCGGATTTCATACAGCCTGGACATGGATAAGATGTCATTCTTCCATCATTTTTTATTTCTTTTCCTGTAGTCTGCACTGCCCTCAAGGGCACTTTAGCCAAATGCGGGCATTGCTTGTCCTTGGAATTGGAAGAAAGGCCAACGGAGTGGTTCCTCAAAAACGAATTCTGTCGTGTCCTGCCTTGTGTCCGTACTCTGCAGAGAGATGCCCACCCCCACCCCACTTGGTTTCTTGATTTTCTGAAAAGAGAACAGAGGAATGAGCAGCGGGGTCCTTTTTTCCCGCTTTTCCTTGCCTTTTTCCGCACAATTATAGGTGCTGAAATTCCAATTCGAATCCTGGAATCGTACCCCAATCTGCCATCCAAAAGTTCGAAACCTCTTGGAAAGTAGACATTTCATTCGTAGCGAGGCATCGAAGCATAGTTGATTGATTAGCTGTGGGGTACGATTTGCCTATTTGGTTTTCATGCGAATTTGATGCGCCTTGACTTTCTATACTTCGGGAATAGAGATTGGATCTTCACAAACGTCATTTGTTGGAGTTTGTCTAGCTAAAAAACATTATAAACTCAGCAATTTCACGTATGGGCATAGATGTTATTTTGTGAACTTTTCAAGCTTGACCTAGAGAAGTTAAAGGAGATTATTTGCAAGGATCTTTTTCTTGGCCAGAAATCACCAATGAAAACGTTATCATATATATTTTTAAAATTTATGAACCCAATAATTATTCCATCGAGGATCCAAGAAAAAATAGGTTGTTTTGTATTTGTTTTGAATTGAGTACATTTCTCAGCAAAAATAGAAAAGGATAATTTCTTTTTCTCTAGCCGAACGCTGTCGGATAGTAGACGGCCATTTACGAAAAACAGTGGGGCCCAGGGAAAGGAACAATTGTAAACCGAAGTAACTCTGATGGGCCCTATAATATGGGCTCATGGGCCTTCAACAGGAGCTAATGGGCTTAGGAGTTGGCAACATGGCTTGGAAAGTGGGCTTGGACAATCTGAAGCAAGAGAAAACTAGGAGATGTCTTGTGAATGAATTTTGATAAAAGATGTAACTTTCTGGTGAAAGTCAGTGTCTGAGGATGGCCAAAAGGAGATTTGAGTAAAATTCCCTGTAAAAACTTTGACAGAACGATCAGAGTAAGTTAACCCAAAAGTCCTAAACGTTCTGTACGGAGTCTCGTGCGAGTTTTAGTCCACCACACGTGAAAACGATTAAATGATCTATTAGATCATGTGTGCTCGCTCCCTCAATAGAGCCTAGTGCACATAGGAGACTCTTACTATTGATGTGTGATATAAAATGACATGCGTATGTCTATATCGTGTTATGATGGTCACTTCTTATAATGTTCAAAGTACCAACGACCCAAGAAGATTGACAAAAAGAGAGAAATTCCCCTCCTCCCACATTCCCGAATCAAAGCACAAAGATGAAATAATGATTCTATACAAATCTTCCATCTCGAAGATGGGTGATTCAAGTGAGAATTTCCAAGGTCAAAGATCACACACGTCTTGCTGATCCCGCACAAGTCTCTCCTATTCCAAGATTGACCTGTCATTTCATAGACAATACTCAATCTATCCTGATGATATTCCTCTATGTTTTATCGACCCCTACATAAAAAAGGAAGAGTGAAAAACCAGCTCCCGGATTTCATACAGCCTGGACATTGGTAAGAAGATGTCATTCTTCCATCATTTTTTTCTTTTCCTGTAGTCTGCACTGCTTTCTTGATCTTATCCAAAAGCGCAAGAAAGGGTAAATCCTGCAATGCTCATTCCTCTAATTTCGTACGAATGCTTTCTTGGAAACAAACACTTTCAAAGAATAATACTTCCATCGTCAAAGAAAATGTTTACACGTGATTTTTATCGTTTATGTGATCTTTTTTTAAGCATGAGGAACAGTCGATTTTCTGTAAAGCAAACCGCTTGCCTTAGCAAAAACAAGAAAGAGAAAGAGCACTTTACCCAAACGTGGGCATTGCTTGTTTTTAGAATTGGAAGAAAGGCCAATAAAGTGGTTTCTCAAAAAGGAATTCTGTCATGGTAAGGAACTCTCCGGTACGGAGAACAGATCTTCCCGTAAATTCTCTCCATATTCCTTCTCTCCGGAAAGAAAAATATAAAGAGAAAACTTATGGGTCATTAGGTGAGGAAGATAGACTCCACGTCAGTGTCGACTGGTTATCGCTGGATAAGGAAAACTATAGTAGCTTCTCAAACCTGAGGCGACGAGTGGGAAGCTTTGGCTCCTTATGGTTACCCTGCGCTTGGCAAAGTATCTAGTAAATCAGATGTGGGCATTGCTTTGTTTTTGGAATTGGGAGAAAGGCCAAATGGAGTGGTTTATCATGAAAGGAATTCTGTCGTCCTGTCTTGTGTCTGTACTCCGCAGAGACATGCTACCCCCAGGTCCCCCACTCCCCCACATGGTTTCTTGATTTTCTGAAAAGAGAACAGAGGGATAAGCAGCGGAGCCCGAAAGTGGGGAGTGGGCCGAATTGACCCGACATTGGAACCCGGTTATGGATCGAAGAATTAGATTACGGAAAAAGTGGGGAAAAGGACGAATGTGTCCGATCATGCATCTTAGCAAGACGACAAGTATCACTTGAAATCTCCAGAAATGGAATACCCACCTAATCGAATTTCCCCCACCCCCCTTTTTTTAGCCTCTTCGCCTTTCTTGGCCTAATTATGGTTGTAGAAATCCCAATTCAGATCTTGAAATCGTATCAATCCTCTGTACAAAAGTTCGGAACCTCTCGGAAAGCAGACGTTCCGTTCATAGCCGGGCATCGAAGCGTAGTTGATTTGATCGATCGACTAGGGATACGATTCGCCTGTTCGGTCCTGATGCGAATTCGATGCGCCTTGGCTTTCCATACTTCGGGAATAGAGAGATTCACGGGTCTTTTACAAACGTCATTTGTTGGAGTTTGTCGAACTGAAAAAACGTTATAAACTCAGCAATTTCACATACGGGCACAAAAATATTACTTATGTGAACTTTTCAAGCTCGACTGCAAGGGAGAAAAAGAGAAGGATAAAATAATTCGGAAGGACCTTTTTTCTTGGCCAGAAATTACCAATAAAAACCCTTAATAAGATTATTAAATTTATCATTTCTTTTAAAAAAAATTATGAACCCAATAATTATGCCATCGAAAATCCAAGAAAAGTAGGTTGCTTCGTATTTGTTTCAAATCGAGTACATTTCTCAGCAAAAAACAGAAAAAAGATAATTTGTTTTTCTCTAGCGGAACGCTGTCGGAAAGCGGGACGGCCATTTACCCAAAAAAAACAGTGGGGCCCAGGGAAAGGAAAGCGTGTGGAACGATCTGGAACCACACGTGCGGGCGGGGGGACAGCCAGCTGTGTTTCCCAGGGCCCCACACGCTTCGGGGATCCATGACGTCACATCCTCCGAGACGGAAAAAGACAAAAAAACCTATTTCCGTACTGGCGGCTTCCGTCGTCGTCTCCCGCCACGTGTGCGGACACTGGCCGTACGGACCCGCCGAAATGGGCCGCGTCAGGGAAAGTCCTCGGTTAGGTAGGCTCTGTTTATCTCGAAAGGAAAAATAAATAATTTGAAAATTATATTTTTTCAAAAGACTATTTACATCACTTGAAACAATTAATTTGTGAAAGATATTTTCGTCATTGGCAATAATTTATGTCTAGATATTATCGTAGACAGTTAGTTTTTGTTATCATTTTATCATTTTTTAAAGCGATGCAAATATTATTATTAGAGAAATGTTTTCCAAATCATTTATTTCTCGCGAAGTAAACGCATCCTTAGATTGGATATAAATCAAGGCAATAAAATCGAGCGGCGTACCGATTCATCTCGTTGCATTCGAAAATTCGTAAACTCACGTTTAGTACTTCTGGGCACCGTTTAATTTCGCAAAAAATTAAACGATTGAAAAAAAAATTCCTTAAAAAGGATCGCTTACATTGCTCGTTATCAACGAATGCCTCGAGGGCACTTGTTCATCTCCAAAGCACTATTTTCCTCGTCTGTTATGCACAACCACGCTTTATCTATTTATTTATCATAACTATTATCGTAATAATTATAATTAACAAGCGTTTGGAGAATACTCAGTTCACAAGACCCTATTATCGGATTCGACGGGAAATACTATACTTGTAAGGAAATTCAATAAATGAAGGTGAGGACTCCATGGTCCAAAACTCTAAAGCAGTACACTATTGAATTCATAGATTCTCAGGTTCTTCAATATGAAAGGGCACCCACCAAAAAAAACAGCAAAGCAAAGCAACGTACCAAAAGCAATGATCTCCCTTTCCTATTCTAATGATGCACATAATTGACAGCTAACCGACAAAAAAAAAAAGTTCGAAATCTCATTGGCGGCCGCAATTCGAACCACACCAAAGAGTAGGTTTTTTTTTTTTTTCTTTTCATTTTCTTTCTGAGACGAGTGATCTCAAAACACTTAATAAATATATTTAATAAAAAATTATATGATTTTTAATATATTAATTACACATATCCCATGCCAATAAAAAGAATTTCGGCTTCGGAAAATGTTACAAAGTGCCTCCGAAATGTTTTTTTTTAACGGTCGTTAATTGTGCTCTGAAAAGATAATGATTTTCATCATTTCGAAGCAAGTGAGACGCACTTCTCAAATTTTCAAACTGTATTAATATACGTATGATTAGCGATCTTGACCGGTATGTCTCTTTAAGGCAATCGTTAATAACGTTCTTATTATTTTTTATTTACCTTTGAGGAATTATTAATTCTTAGATATGTAGGTGGTACTAACCCTCTCAACTCAGGATCAGGAAGAGTAATTGCTGAACAGCTGGATTGGGCCATGAGTTCTCGTTGAGCTTGACTCACGGTACTGCCAGCTCCCTCAACTTTGGGAGTCTCCCCGCACAATGCTGTCCTCCATTTAAAAGGGCATGCAACTTGGGAAGATCCCCCTCAAACAAGACAACTTTTGACACAGATCTCTCGTTGATCTTTCCTGGGGATTTTATGAGTTAAACCACCATTATTGCTTAATAATTCTAAGTTAATTATATTCAACAGGTGTTTGGAATCACACTCGTCGACATGGCTCAAGAAAAGGAAACAGAGAAGGTCAAACCCCCCCCCCCCCCCCCCCTCTCTGAGATCTTTCCATCCCCTCCTCCACCACTGTCCTAGATTCAGTGCTTCCTCGTACCCAGGCACAATCCTTGCGTGCGCGCAGTCCTTGACCCGGTCGCGTGATCGCGGCGACGCTCGAACCGATGAAGCCGAAGAACTTAGAGACGAGCTTGGCATCGAGGCCCGGCGCGATCCCGATGTATCGGAGTGTGTCTTTTCTCAGGCTAAAGAGAATTCGATCGATTTTATTGCACTTATCTGGTTGATTCCGATATGAAATATTCACCGACTTTGATTAACGATTCCTTCACTGCCGTACCAAACGGAAGCTGTACATTGCAAAAACTTTACAATAACTTCACATTTCACCCCTCCCCCCCGGTTTCGGAACGCTCAAAACGAGTAAGTTATCATACTCGTCCCGGGATCAAATGACCCTGACCGGCGGCGACCGTGGATGACCGAACGTCGATGCAGCCGTGTGGCTAGTGTTGGTTGAGGCTGTCCCACAGGGACGTGCAGCGCCGTCGGGCAAACCCAACCCTTCGCTTCTCCAGGTCATAAACCACCTCAAAACCCTGCTGCTGATAATTCCCCAGGATGGCCACTGGCCCGCCTTCCGCCTCGGCCTCATCCCCGCCGTTCATCAGCATCAAGCACCCCACTCGCGACCGCCTCCCGCCGCCGTTGCCGCCGTCCATGAAGTCGTAGAAATAATTCCTCCTGGGAAGCACCACGCTGGACCCCCGCCCCACGAAATGCAATGTAACAGTAGGCACGCTCGCGATCGTGTCGTTGTCGAAGTAGTAGCACGGGCTCAGCCCCGTCTTGTCTTCTATTTCGGTCGCCCGCTTATGGACTTGGCCGAGCCGCCGCTCGAACTCGGCAACCACAGAGCCGTACAGGCCCGCAGGCAGCATGGTGAACGTCGTCCCCGAGTCGACCACCATCCCGCCATTCCCGCGGCCGTCCACAGCCTTCAAATTCTCCGCCGCCGGAATATGCTTCCGGCCCACGGATATCCCCTGCAGCCCGACGCAGTAGAAGTATGGATGCTTCAGGTTGTCGAGCATCTCGGTGTACACGAACTCCGCCTCCTCGTTACCGAACACTTTCTCCTTCCGCCCTAGGATGAGGGGGCTCGGCCGGCGAACTCGGTCCGGCTCGAAAGAGTGAGACACCAAACAATAAGAAAACCGGTTGCCCAACTGGGGCGACAGGCGCGCTAGCTGAGCCGGCAAAGAGAGGGAGCCGCGGCCGAACCCGGCGACTCCGACCGGCTCTCCAAGGGCTGAGTGGGCACACCCGAAGGTGAAATTACGAAGGACCAATGCAGGAGGAGACGTCGGGATGGAAACGGAGTGGCGATACAGGGTGGCAACGAAGCTGCCGTCGCCGTAGGCGTAGTAAAACTGTGGGCAAGAGAAGGAGGCGCAGTCGGAAATTTCGATGGACTCAAGCGGGCAGCGAGCAGCAGCACAGAGGTCGGAGGAGGAGAGAGAGGAGTGGGCGGCCGCGCATGCAGGGGACTTGCAAGAGACGGCGGAGGTGGAGGAGAGGTTGAGGGCAACGGCGGGGTGGCGGCCGTTGGGGTTGGGCTTGCCCTCGCAGAGGATGCAGTCGAAAGGAGCGCAAGGGAACCAGACGAGGTCGCTGCCGGTGTCCATGAAGAGGGAGACGGACTGGGGAGGGTGGGAGTCGAGGGTGAAGCTGAGGGTGTAGTCGCTGCCCGGGGACAGAGGGAGGGAGACCTGGCGGCGGCCGCGGCGGGAGAGGTGGTGGCCGAGGCGGTGGTGGCGGAGGCGGGCGGCGGAGCGGGCGGAGGCGGACTTGAGGAGGAGGTGGTGGGTGGAATTGAATCGGGAGGTGGAGAGGGAGTTGGTGAGGGGGAGGAAGACGGGGGCGGAGGATGTGATGGAGGAGTGGTGGGCGATGAACAGGAGAAGGACGAAGAGACAGAGTGAGGACGACGCCATTTGAGGCTTCTGGAGTTGGGACGGGGGGATAGAGAGGAAAACAGAGTGCTCTGTTTCTTTGGGTGTTGGTGTCATGCCACCGAAGACCCGGTTTTGAGAGGGTTTTAAAGAGGGGATGAAGGGAGGAAGATGTGCGGCGTTTAATAGATTCAGTAAAATCAAAATCACACGCGTTAAATGCGATGCATTACTGGCGGCCTAAGGAAAAAAGGGTTAAAAGGAGAGAAATTTATCACGAGCTTTCCAGCTCTATTTACTTTCAGTAGCTTTTTTTCCACAGAGAATTATGGATAAGCACTGGAGTGTTGACTAGTAGTACTAATCATTGGAGTACTTTTGGTTCATTTAATAGTCGGATTTGATGGATTGGAGATGGGGACGACGCATGCGTGAAGTTTGGTGGCAGCAAAAAATCAGGGGCGAGGCTTGGCTCCGCCGGTATAGTTCTAAGCTGTTTCTCTACCCAATAAAAAAATAGAGAGAAAGTTCGAAGCTGTTTCGTCAGGTGAAGAAAGGAACCAAACAAATCAAAACGAAAAAGAAGCGCCTTTAAATCCAATTTAGGATCGGCCATTGTCACAATCAAATCGAAAAGGAGAGAATTAAAACAGGTTTTATCGACGAAATGTCGCTAGACATTTGCTAGATATCCCACGGAAGAAAAATTTAACAGTTAGAAAACATTGGTTAAACAGTTAATGAAATCGCAATGCATTGAAAACTGTAACTACTATTTTGATTTATTACTTAACAAAGCCCGAGAACGCTTCCCAACAAATTTTTAGTTAAAAAGGCAAAGAAGTTGATAACTACTATTTTTATTTTTTTTTCCCTTACCAAAAAAAAAAAGTTGACAATCAAAAAGAGAATCGTAGCTTTCCACAAAAGGAAATATCGTTTATAAGAAAGAAGGCTCGTGTTTCCACTCTGTATAAACCCATTCCGGATCCCCACTGATACAATCAAAATGGACAAATTGAGAGAGGGGAAGAGAGTAGGAAGAGTTGCCAGCAGAATAAGAGTAGGGCGTGTGAAAACTCGTGCAAAGGGTTGATCGTGGGAAGTCGAATGAACCAACAACGCTTGCTCATACCGCAAAGTATATCGGGTTATATCATAAACTCCTTGAACCCTAACATCAACTTGTTAAGATAATCCTTCTTTAATAATGGCAAATCCAAGGTTGCTCCACGAGGTGGATACATACTGCTGCCAACCCCCATGCTTGGATTCACTGAATGGCATAAGCAAATAAGCCGGTGAGAAAAATGTGTCTCGGGGTTCGGACCACGCGGCCGAGGCACGTGCATGACCCGAGACCCACGTGCATTATTACCGAGGAAAGAGACCAGCGAAGGCTCATATCATGAGCTTCACTTCAGTGTTCAGGAATTGAGACTGATGTCCGAGTTAAATCCCTTACCGAGGACCAGTAATGAAGGTAGGGCCACGATGAGCAATTCCAACCTCGAGAGTTTTGAGTTAAATCCGAGTTCTCAAGTTGAGCTACTGTGGCCCCATCCAATCCAGTCAACCGATATCATCCGCGCCCCACACGATTTCGTAATCCCACTGAAAATATCCCGACATACATATAGTCAGATCGACCAACGCACTGCACCTAGACGAATCAAGACATCATCTAAAGATGTTGTGCCTTTTCCTTCATGTACCGAACTACTAATTAGTGCCCAAAACGGGAGAGTTTGCAGGCCTCTTTCTCTTCCTTCCCTCCGATTTTCAGAAGCGTTCCATGTATCGATCAACTCACATTGATCACGTACCTTCAAAGTATCGGTGTAGCTGAGACATTCTTCCCCTCCTTATTCAATCATTTACCTGAATTCTGTTTCTGGACATAACCAAAATCAAAGCACCGATAGGACTATCCAACAAATGAAACGTCCAAAACTTGTTGTCGCTTTCGCCACACTGTAAGGGACAGCCCATTTGGGTTCCACCAACCATTCCTATAAATGTCCCAAAAGGATATTTCAATTCAGAGATATCCACTTGCCTATCACCGCTGGCTAATAGAGCCTGTCCTTTTCATATTTCAGGAGATAAAAAATTACCTAAATCACAGATAATTAGGATTAGACGGCTTATACACCATGAATCCAGCATCATTTATATGATACTGCTGTATGTGAGAGCTCACAAAGTAGGAGGGACACCAATCTACTTTGAGCTTCAACTTGCTCTGGATGATCTGGTAGACAACCTATTTTTCTGGTGACAATAGATTGACTAATCAGTTCAGTCAGATGCTAAGGGCCACTAATAAATTGAGGGCGCTATGGGGAGAACGGTGACAATTCAAAGTGCCAATCAGCCAACCGCTGTGGGAACCATCTCTACAAAGTCCAACTCATTGATTGTACCAGAAACCACAGCTGCTTGCTTGCAGCCGTGAGATCATCGATTTCCTTCCATTCAATTATTGAATTTTCCAAGTCTTTCTATACTCTCAAAAAAGACATCTTTAAGGAGGATTCCTTCGAACCTCGCATACCTGAAAACTTCATGTTTGGACTTAGTTCATCACTTAATATGGTCGCTGCTGGCTCCATAAGTTTCACAGATCAATCATGTTATAGCACACATCAGCAAATATACATACTACAGACACTTGCAAGGTGCATCATGTCCTTTGCTCCGCTTTGCAAAAATAGGATAGACCATCAAGCCATTGTTCAAGTGAGCCCCGTCAATAATTCAAATCAGCAAACAATCGCAGCTTCACCTCCAAGTTACCACCAGTCTAATGCAATCTGTACAAAATCGAAAAGATCTGGATCCATCTACAGTCTGCTGCACAAGATACTGAACAAACTACAGACTTCACCAGGCGTACACCAAACCAGCAGACAGTTTTACGACATATAAACAGATTTTAATGCCATTGAATGGCATTCAAGTTCATAATAGCATAGAGATTCTGCGGACTGTTCTTAAACTAAAGGAGCGAACTGATGCCTACAAACACCTCAGCTCGGAAACTGATTCCTATTTAGAATTGACAGCCTCAAGTGAATCTCACAAACATTTTCTGATGTAGTTTCCTGGCCAAATCAATCGAAAGAGAGAATGGTCCATTCTCGCTTTCAGACCCTTGCTTATAGGCAGTTATTGAAGAAAACCAAAAGAATTGGTACATACATTGGACAGCAACTCATTACTTAGTCATGATAATTCCTGGGACTTGCAACAATTACAGATATCATCTTAAACTTTCCCTTACCAGCAATTTACATTGCACCTCTAGTATCAGAATCCCACACTTTGCACCCTGAAGACCTACAGTTTGTATGTTTGAGTCTACACCATTGGGAAAAGGTTAGAAAAATTACACAAGGGTGTAAAGTAGAATTTCCTTGAAACCTTAAGGTGAAAAGTCTGGGGTTTAAAAACAGAGGGTCAACCTATAAGTGTGAAAAATACAGGGTGCAATGTGTAACTAAGGATAAAGTTGTGGATGGTTTTTATAAAATTGCCCAATGTAAATTATTTACAGTATGCAAACATTGGCCGTGTCATAATCTGCACATGAATCGATTCAAAGCAAACAACTTGGTTTCTTTCCCAAACCTATAAGATAAATGCACAAACTGCTCCCCCCATGTACATGTCTTTACTTTGGTTGCATTGGCGATAATCACGGAAACTACAACAGCTTTTTGATATTCAGTTAAACTGAATAATAGCAAAGATAACCAAACACCCAAAAAACGCAAATACGGCCATATCAATTTTGCCATCTTCTGGAAGATTACAGAGCAAGCATGCCAGGGCTAGGAAATAACATTATAGGAGGCCTAGCCAAAAATATACTCATTCATCTGAAATATCAACTATAATATTTACTTCTAAAAGTTTGGAAACAACAGTTAAAGGAAAACGTTTTATTTCTCTATAAACAAAAAAGTCCAGAGCCATAGACACATGGATCTTGGTAACTTCATCCTTGAATAAACTGATTGCACAGGGGAAAAAGGCAAACCAAATTGTAGTGTGGATATGACTCAATGTACTAGGTATGTCTTTGCCAATAGGCACAGAGAGAAACACACTTGACCTCAAACGAATCAGCACCTTATCATTCGAGGCATATCGAACATATTAAACACATCATATTCGCACCATAAGTAATATAAGGGAACTTCCAATTTATAAATGTGGTTAAATATATCCAATTCCAAATCAGAAAGTCAATACAATTCAATTGAAGATTAAGGTTATGCATGACTTGGTTACTCTGGTTTCAGTTTGTCCAATAACTTCTCTGCTTCAATAAACCCACCGAGTGGTCCCAATGACAAGTACTTCATATGTTTCCATCTGTATAAGCTCTTCAATGGTTAAACTAATGCGTTTAGAACTTCATTAAGTACAATTATGGTACCGAGGGTAACAACTGTCAAAACATATTTAAGCATTTGAGAGTGCAGCGAGGAAAGAAGGTTACCTGGGTATGAAAGGTAGTGCCAAACAATGAAGATGCAAATGGTTGACAGTGTTGAATGGAGGCTGATGAAAGCCAAACCTGTTAACATAAATATCCGGAACAGGAAAAGAAAATTGGTCAAAATGGTGAAATTAGACACAAAAGCTTCTCCCAGTTGCAAGCAAGGGAATCATCGACACACGAATTGAATGGCAAATGGCAATTACTACTGCAAATGACAGCATTATTATGTTCATATCAACTGCTTGCGATGTGTCATTTAGTACCGATATTATCGAACTCGAAAGCATAATCCAAAGTCCAACATTGCACTTGAACGTCAACGAAGACTGGAGAAACAAATGCATGACCAGGGACCAACAAATCAAGCAAGTTGATGAACAATGATTACATTAACAGAGTTCAGGCGATGATCATCGACAGAGACTGAGATAGTTTTGTCATATATTTTTCCAAAGCAAAAAAATACATGAATAAACGAATATGTAAATAAACATAAGTATGAGTAAGAGATGGGATAAGCACTGAATTTGATAAAATTTTCCCCAAAAGGATAGGCTGTCAATCACTCTACTCATCTTCCACAAAGACATTTAAGGATAGAGGGTGGGAACACAGTTTAGCAATTGCAACAATGCACCATTAACGATTTCCATTCACATGAAATTTACAGAAAGTAAAAGATCCTAGCATGAGCTATATCAGCAAGCAAATCTAACGAGGACAATTTTCCAGCACGAGCGACTGGCTATTTAATACCTCGACAGGATACCGGCAAGAATATCTAAATCTCCAGCACAATTTTCCAGTTCCCTCAAACACATTGCAAAGTCTCTAACAACTAGAGGAGTGAATGCTGATTACCGTATCTTCCACATCAGTTTAATTGCAAGGATGCATAATAACACGGTTACATGAAATCAAGGGGATCAAAACTCCATGTGGCTGAAGGATACGAAAAAGTACCTGTATTGCTTTGACTGAGGCACGTCTCTCTGTAAAAGCATTCTCCCCACATCCAGCATGTGACTCACTGGATGAATAGAAAACGAGAGAGCAGATAAATACCTAGAGGTCCCGTGCTCTCGAATGAGTCGTAAACAACGGATATAATTACCTAAGGTATAATCTTCAGCTCTCCTTTTGAGGTCTCTCACAGTCGGAATGTGCTCCACCGGAATCACCAAATAATGCCTGTTGATCAGGCATCGAGCTTAAGATTTTCAGTCATCCTGAGAGTGCAGCAAAAGAGCTGCAAATCGAAGGGTGAAATCATTTCGAGCAAATGCCGCGATCCGTGCCGTGGCGAACACATCTTAAACTCCACAATAGCATATTAGCATGTCTCTTAGAGGTTACCACCAACTCACAACAGGAAAGCATAAGAGGAAAGTGATCAACAGCCCAATCGCAATGAAAACCACCAGGACCAAAAAGGAAGAGAACAGATCAATGTTTTATCTCACAAACGCCCCAAATCAAACCAGGCAATCTCCAAAACACTGGCTCTACGCTCGGCAGTCTGCTGTGTAGATCGACAAATTCGATCATTCGGGAACTCGAAGCGACAATTCGGGTCGAAACTAAAAGAAGAAATTCGAAGCATTCGAAAGGAAATGCGGTGCTCTAATTCAAGGAACGCCTGGAAACATCAAATCGCGTCGGAACCAACGGAATTTCGACCCGAACAAACCACCCCCCCGCCATCTCACTAGAAAAATGATTCAGTACTCGTCGGCCCGTCCAGATCTCCAGAGGCAACAGCAGCGCGCGCTCGGACCGACCAATCCACACAGATCATCCGGACCGAGTCGAGCGACAGCGCTAGATCAACAAGGTCCAGAAAATTTCAGAGACAAGCTCGGACTCAGAGGCGGCATCCATTACACAGCTTTAATCCAAAACTAAGAGAGGAGCTCGAAGCACAATCCAGAGAAGCACCAATCGGGATAGGTAGCTGGGGAGTTACCTGGACGCGGAGGGGTTGACGTCCTGGAAGGCGACCACTCGATCGTCCTGCAGGCGCGAGAGAGCAAGAGGCTCCATCAAGCTGGGAAGGAACAAAGATAGAGAGAGAGAGAGCGGGAGAGAGGGAGACGAACGGAGTGGAGGACAGGAGTGGAGGTGGAAGAGCGGGCCATCCGGCAGAAGATGCAGGCCGCCGCCGCCGCCGCGCCCGCCATTTTCGTGCCCACGACGAAAGCTCCTTTTGGGGGCTCCGGAAGGAAGTGGCTTTAAGGACTCGCGGGCGCGTTTTACTCCTCACAGGTTAGGGGCGTAAACGGTTCGGTTGGATTCGCATTTTCGGTTTTCTTTCATGCAATGTTAAGAAGTTGTTTAGTGAAAAAAAGAAGGAAGGAGAGGAATTATGTAAATTCTAATTTTAAGAAGAGAGGCGATTTAACCGAACCGAACCAAAATAAAAAAAATGGGTATTTTTTTATTATCCGAATCAAACCGAAAATGAACGAAATTTTGTCTCGGTTTGGTTCGGTTCCGGTTTTATGTTCGGTTCTCTAACCCTGCTCCAAAGTCAAAAGAAGGCACGGATTACACTAATGATAAGATTGTTGTTTTCAGTTTATCAACAACATTATTTTAGGTAAACCAATTAGTTTCTCATCGTCCAAATATCGAAAAAGTCGGAAAACAATTTCCCGAAAACAGTTTTCCTTTTGTTTCATTGAAAACTTCGTGATAAAGAAAATCGTTTTTTACGAAAGTCATTTTCAAGGACAATGGTTACTTTTCATTTGTTTTGGTAATTTTTTGCAAGAAAGAGAAATCATTTTCTCCCAATGTAAGCTTATTACTTTTAGTCCATGAAAAATATTTTTCATAGATCGATCAGTTTTCCATCGTCCAAACACCAGAAAGTCAATTTCCGAGATACAGCTTTTCTATAAACAAATGGACCCATGTTCTTGCACCTATAATAATTCATGCCAGCTCAAGAATATTTCGATAAATCACAACCATATATGATAATGGAACTATTGCATTGTCGTGGTAGAGGTAGGTCAAGTTCGGCCAACTCTTTGTCCCACGTAAATCAATTCTCCCTATAAGCAAAAGCTACAATTCTCTTATTTAATTTGCGCATCTAGAATGACTCTTACGTTTTCCTTTTGATCAATTTAAATATCACAATTCATATATTTTAAATTTTCTTAAAACTTAGAACAATTGAAATTTATATATAAATATTTACAAGTAAATTAACAGACAATTCTTAATAATTTTTTGAAGTCTATATTGTGTTTTATATATCTTCGTGGGAAAGTGAAAAAAAAAATTAATTTTTGGTTATATTAAAGCAAAAACAAACAAATAAGGCCTCACTAGTAGCTTATTAGTACTAAGCTTGCAAATTGATCTTACACTCAAAAAAATAAAAGGCACAGAAAATGCTTCCGTGCCGTTGTGAAAATTGAAAAATGAACCTTTTTTTTTTACAAGGTATTCCTTCATCTCTATCATGGAAATGATTTTACAAGAAAATCAATCGAGGCTTCGTGGATACAAGAAATTCAAGCTGAATAATGAACCCCAGTAAAACTTTCAAACTTCAATTATCTAAAGAGGTATGGCGAAGCAGGAAAAAAATTGCTAGATAAACAGGTTGTCGTTCAGATCCGGTGCCCTTCGCGGGGTATAAACAGCACCTCGTAATCGCCCACCGTCACCTGTATTACCACGAAAATTACGAAAACATGGGTTATGAACCGAGCCGATTTTGCTTGAAAATGGATCGCAAAGATGCGCTACCTCGTATCTATTGCCACCGTAAGTATACTCAATGCGCAATCCTTTTGGCTCTCCAGGACAGGGATCGCAAAATCCCATAATTCCTGATTTCTTTACGCCTTCGTGAAGCTGCAAAAATCATATTGGAAAGTGAGAACAAACACCCGACGCAGGCAGATAATCAAATCCCCAAGATTGCAGATGTATTTGTTGGCCCCATTGCGATGAACACCGAGCGTCACCTTGACGAGAGGGGCCTCGGTCTGGTTCGTTTTCAATGTTCATGAGAAGAAACATAGGCATGCGATAACCTAAATAAGTATCGTTGCATATGCAAGAATTGCTTCTGCATACTGGTGCCACCTTCCAAGCTTCTACTTCCAATACACGTATGGATCACTCTGACTGAGAGTACATGATTGGACCTATGACGCTAAGCAGAAAATACTCTATTGGCGTAAATCCAGGCTCCTCTATTTCGAGAGAGCATACTCGTATTTTTTAGTCTAAACTGAAGGGCGTGCCTGTCATGTAGATTTCAGACAGAGGTGTCCGAATCTGGGGAGATGTGCGCAGCTTGACGCCTACTTTGGGGCAGAGGTTTCCGTGACTCAAACCTATGACCTCTAAGTCATAATAAAGTAACCTTATGTCACACCAAGGCCTTGCCCATTGCGGAACTTTTACTTTTGGTTAATAGAAAAAAACAATAGAAAGGCAAGTTCTAAGCTGTTGATCAAGGGTGGCCGCAGTCAATGCTAGGTCAAAGAACAGTAACGTTGAAGAATTTGACAAGAAAGAAAATACATGGCGTGCAAAGATGGCAGAAGATAGGAGTAGCATACCTTGAGCTGCCCTGAATCAGTAACAAGGAAATTTAGAGGCAAAGTAACATCTATAACTTGGGAAGCCGATTCGGTGACTCCTCCTGATTGATCAGATCTCTTCACATGTTTAAGATTCCCATATTTTGCTTCGGTGATAACTAGTCCACCAAGTTCCATTTGTTTGTTTCTTTTTCGATTTGCCACGTTTTCTAACAACTTCTGAGCTCTCTGAGCGGCTGCCATTGCTTCTTGTACCTACATGTCACAACCATTCACTTAAGTATTTCCAATGAATACAAGGGACACTGTAGAGCAGTAAATGTTTTACACATACCTGCGTTGAAGTTTTCTCAAAATTCTCCAAAGCCTTCTGCCTTTCTCTCTTAAGGAAATAAGGCTTGACAACAAACTTCTGCAATCATGGAAGATATGTAGGTTGTATCAACTAATGACTTTTCTATCAGCAGTATGTCTAAATAATTAAACAGGTAAGCATGGGCCTTGTCAACTGGAAAGATGCTCTGCAAAATACTGCATTGTCTGAGAAAATCAGAGTGAATTACTAGTCGTAATAAGTCAACATTTAGCCAGATGGAAAGAATACCATCACGACTTCATCCAATAAATCTCCTAGTTGCAATTGTCAATAAAAGCCAAGAGCTAGATTAAAGCCAATCCTTGAATACGTATAGAAACACGAACTTCTAAGCCGGCATAACATTTACATATAACCACCAAACAACTGGGAAAAATTGGCCTACGATGGAGCCCAACACGAAGGTCTTTCTACCTAATAAACGAGAATCATACAGGTTCGGAGAACAGATTTCTTCCCAAAAAACTAAGATATGAAATGCCAACTGTATGTAAGTTGGAAGACATCCTCCCCAATGCCTTTAAAGTTCTAAAACCAAATTCTGTGCCAAATGCAAGAATAATTGCAATAAGTAAACACCATGCACAACAAAATTCTCCATAAGGTGATTCAGATAAGAACCTTGAGTATGAAGTAAGCAGAAGTTGGAAATATAAACGCCCCGGCAGCAAACAGAGGATTTAGATGCCTTGACAGCAAAAGCTGCACACAAATAGCCAAAAGCAAACATCTCAGAGTAAAATGAGGCATAAAGCGGACAGCCTTTCTTTGGGCCACAAGAGAGAGTATATGAGGAAAGCGAACAGAATGAAAGTACTTTCAGTTCCGAAATGCTTTCTTGTGATAATGCTCTCGAGTCCATTTTTTAGTTACAAAGAATACAGGCCATCCTTAATAACAACCTATCAAGTTGGTCTACATTTATTTAAGCCTCTTCACATTTTTATACATAGAAATCTATTCGATTTTTATAACTAATGAAGATAACCCCTTATAGCACCCATATTGTGCCTCTAATGGAAGAAAACAAATGAAAATGCTAAATCCAGCTTACAGGAACCATTATCTTTTGCCCACCGCGACGCCACTCAAATTTCCAATATATACCCTGCCAACAAAATAACACACGGAGAAGGGGTAAGCCAACACACAAATTAAAGAAGCAATATACATGTAAATGATGCAGGCACAATAATAACTAAGGAGCCTGCACACAACTGTGTGAATTGAGAGTGAAACGACAAATCCACTAATAAAAATGTCTTAAACTCAATCCACCCTAAGTGTAATAAAACGTAATGGAATATTATAGACATTCGGCATAAGAGCTATATTCAATCCAGGCTAATGTAACAAAACCTAACAGAAAATTTTTGGACATTTACAGAACCATGAGAACGCAAGGAGCCTAACAATTCAAGGGTGCTGGACCCCTTGAGATATGATGTATGGATGATCATGCATTAATGGTGTGGCTTTCTATTCCTATTTTTAATTTTCTACATAAACTCAATTTTTTCTCAATATATACTTCAACGTTAAAATTTTATGTTAAACAAACAGTATTATAATAGTTAGTTTTTTTGTCTTTTAAAAAACAAAAACTGCACTAGAAGATCTAAAAGATTTCTCAAATAACATTTCACGAGGGAAAACAAAAGTACACCAATAATCATCTAGCCATTACTCTTAAAAAGCATTTAATACCTGTATCCCAATTGTGTACAGCATGCGGACAGTGCTAAAGTTGGATAATTTTCTTCCACCACCAACTTCGATCTCTAGAGCAGTGCTGTGCAACAAGTAAAGTCGTTGAAAAAACAATATAGCATAACCTAAAACAGAAAGTGCGTCAGGATATATTAAAATCTTGAAGAATCTATAGGTTTGAGGCCCAACTTCAAGAATTCATTCATCTAACAAAAATGTTGGTCCAACCATAACATAAAAATCAATGTAACACCCTTCCTCATTGTCACATTCAGATAAATATCAGTTAAACAACATACATTATCCTATAACAAGAGGTGAGAAAGTTTATAGCAAACCATTAACGCAGGCATGATAAAATATATATATTAGCACGAAAAACCTGATTGTAAGGGCCTCACATCTTTAATACTGGGTTTCTCCATTCTGTAAGTTGCTCAATAATTTTTTCCAGTCATCAAAAACCATGATTCGGAAAATATAAGATATAATACATGCTACATAATTTTATTAAAAAGGAGGGCAATGTCTCATGAAAGAACTCGAAACGTGACAAATAATTAACTCAATCAGAAGTGCTATGAAAACACTTGAAACGTGACAGATGATTAATTAAATGAGAAGTGATTGCTAAAGTCCAAATGAATATAGTCACAGTCAATTTGCAAAATCAATGCACAAATTCATCTACTGCAAGTACCTTCCAAATCTGCCTGCAATACGGGCATGAGATTTTGAAGAAAAACGCCTAGTATAATGAGCTGATACCCCAAAAGAACTTGTTCCAAGCTGTAGAAATTGCAGAAGGTTGGAAGACACACAAATGATCAGGTTTAGGCATAATAAAAGAGAAACTTGGCTCAGGGAGGATGTTTGAGGAAAGAAGCATTGCAAGTAGGACCATGCAAAATGTTAAATCAGCTAAGCATATGTGAACATGTTGACATATGATTACGTTATGAGCATGTATCGTATTATCTCCAAAACTCGGGTATGAAACTTTGAGCAAGACTTAAGTGCAAATTTGGACATACTTTCAACTCTCCAGCCGCAGACATTTTCTCTTCTCTCTTTTGCCATCCAACTGCAATAGATGATTCTGGTCCTAATACAAGCTGTATCTGCAAAAAGATGAAGAGCAAAAAATATGAGAAATATTTGATGCCAGGAAAGACAGAGTGAAGTATAGCACAAGATTCACTGTACGGACAGCTAAGAAAATACCCCATTTTTATAAAGATTTCCCATTTCCATTGCCAAGTATTAATATCTACTATGGTTACTGCATAGCATATGCCCTCTACAAATGTTTTATAATTAACAAAACAAATCAAATCACCAACATTAAGCCACAGAAGAATATTTTTAGCCTTCAAGAATGTGTTGCTAGGAACATTTATAAGTCAATCCTGATATAGTTTTCTGATTGTAATAGGGTAAACAGCACAGAGCAAATAACATTTCGGCAGAGAGAGAGAAACTTGCTGCAGCTAGAATACATTTCCATTTGCTGTGTCTGAGAACTGGCGGGTCCATGTATTTGACAGATTTATTGACCCATCTTGCAAAGACATTGCTAAGCCCATTGTCGCTGATGAGTGTTGTGATAAATGCCTATCACCAAACAAAAGTTAGAAAAAGTAGAATCATTTGCATAAAACTAATATAAATAGCCAGTAAATGCTCTACCGTGTTGTTTGCACGCCAACGAGGGCCTGTAGACCAAATGAGACCATAAATTCTGCCGAAGCAGCAGGAGAAATCTGATGTCCAAGCACAAGAGAAGCAGCTCGGCCACCAGCATGTTCACTAACTGCCAAATTTCCACCAAGAGCTAGGGTATTCTTTTTGGATATTTGAGATTGGAATTGACTTGCCATTTGCATTCTGATATACATGAACACATAAACTCAGTAGATACCATTGAGCAGCAGAATATTATATGGCAAAAAATTGCCAATGTGGAGAAAGTATCAAATTAAGATTTTCCATTTCCTATAAGAATCACAAATTTATGTACCTAGGCAACAGACTTTGCTGAGATCATTGTAATGCAGTGGTATAAAACAATATTGGTCAGCCTCACAGCTGAATACCATAAATATAATCTGACAGAACCGTGAGAACATCTATCTCCAAAGAATTTAATTTGTACGTTTTAAAAATAATTAAGGAGGATGGATCGTGTTGACATCATAGGTAAACAGCCATCAGCTTGGTCATCATTCAGCTTCATGAAACCATTTCATTCTGCAATGTGTTTGCTCATATTGTGCACTTGTGCAACTTGTCATTTATTATTATTCTTAGCATCATGTAGTCACACTAAACACGACGATCTCATCCAACTTGATTTACAATATTGAAAACCAGAATCTCTTCACTGTTCATATCTCAATTTGCCAACAAACAAAAAAAGCATTAATTTCGATGTCTGGTCAAGTGCTCTGGTATCATCATGCATCAGGCAGAATCCATCTTACTTAGGATCCTCAAAAAAATTGGCAGATACATAAGTTGAGTCCTACCCTCTCACGAAGCTGTCGCCATCCAAAAAGTGCGGCACTGACAATTCTGTCACTATCGTACCAGATGGTCGGAAATGTGCTAAGCTCTTTTCTTGTTCCTTCATTCGCCTTAACCTTTCAAGTTCTTCTTTTATTTCTTCAACTTTACTCAGCCTTGGACCAAGTTCTAAACCTGAAGTTAACCCCTCCATACCATATATGTCATATATCTGCCTTTTATTCTCATCGGACAATATTTCATATGCTTCACATATCCGCTGAAAGTTCTGTGTAGCAACTTCCTTCATCTGAAAATCAGACACTTGTTCCATATTAACAGGACTTGTGATTGTCAAAAATCATGCTGAGAAAAGGACAGCATCGGAAAGATGAAGATGAACAAACTTATAAAGTGGGGCCAGGACCAAAGCAACTAAAAAATGTTAATGCCTTAGTACCACAAGTCATTCATAATATTGCCATAAGATACGCTGAGCAGCACTAACACAACTACCAATCATATCCAAAGAAGAGTTGAGCGAAGCCATCATGGAAAGAGCAAAGACATGCTGCACTTAGAGGATAAATCTCCAACTGAAGTTAGAAGAGAATAAAGTGTCTGGTGTGAATATAACGATTTCCAATTCCTCCTCTCCCTCATTCTAGTCCAATCAACAGACATCTTGGCGAGAGGAGAGGGCATGGGCTTGCTATTAATGCTTATTGGACAATTACAGCATCCAGTTTTGAACGTTTGACAGAATATAGACTGAGAAGGTATCGTCTTTGAAATGATGTTAACAATTTTTTGCATTTCGCTCACAATGAATTAGGTCTCCCCACTTCCATCGAAAAGCAATGGGACAATCAAAACGACACTACAAAGCTTGTTATTGCCATGAAACAAAATATAAACTGCCATTTTCAGCAGTTAACATTTTATATCAACCAAACATATCGCCCTTAGATATAAGCAAGATTTTTGGTAAACAGACCAATGACAACCGTGTTGCGATGTGGATCAAGATGGAATAGATATTCATCCATGGGATAATCACATAGTCTTCTCGAGATAGAAGTGATTCTGCATTTGAGCGATTTGATTTTCCATGAAAAGAATATGAACAGCGGAAGGGAGTCCTTCCAAGTACACAATGCCCATCAATACTCGGTTAAACACAATGAGCAGCACCGCGCACGCAACTAAGGCATACTCAATTCAGCCACAAACATGAACAGAACAATCAACGAAAAATGCTAACAAAACCAAACCGGCCACAACCCAACAGCCCAAAAACCTCAGAAACCATCCCAAGAAACTGCCCACGAATCAACCCGATAGACTTCGCCGCGAATCCAATTTCCCCGCGGAACTAATCAAATCCTAGCCGAAGCCAGCCAACAAACGAAAGCACGCGAAGCGGAACGAGCTTAGAGAACATACATGAAGGTCCTGGTACTTGTCGGGGTGATAGACTTGAGCCCACTGGCGGTACGCCCTCCTGATTTCCTCGTCCGACGCTTCCGGCGACACGTGGAGCAGCGCGTACAGCTCCCTGTGCGGGGGTCCGGCGATGGCCTCCTCCTCGTCCATCCTAAAGCGCTCCCAATCCGATTGCCGCGGAGCAGATCACAGCTTCGACAGACGCGGAAATCGAATTGCACGCGAGCTGTTCGTTGTAATGTCGCATAGAGAGAGAGAGAGAGAGAGTGTGCGTGTCTCTTTTGCGCTTGCGGAAGGGGTTTAAAGGAAGGGTTTTTAACCGAACCAGGGACGTGCGACGACCAATTTGATTATCGACTTTGGCCCGAGTCGACGATTACTGTCGGTTTTCTTGTCTTGGGTCGGATCGAGCTCGAGACCGGACTACTCGAGTATCTTATCGAGCAAGCTAGAACTCGTAAGGGGATTCAAATCCAACACAACGGTGATTTTAAATCAAATCGATATTACTTTCTAAAAAAATTTACGTATGTAAATCATATCACTTGTCTCAATTATGAATTCCTTCCTTGAATTCGACCAACAAAAAAGAGTCTTCCCTCGATGCCCCTCCATTAAATAATAAAGGGTTAAAATATCGAGGGCCTGAATATGATTAAGCACATTTTTAAATTTATCAATCGTTTCAAATGATATTTATAGAAAAGAAAAGGAAAACTCATTTTGTCAAGACTTAATTTACGATGATTTTGAATTAGGAATATTTAAAAAATAATCGCGACCCATCCTTATCATATCATAGTGTGCACCCACGTTTATAAATGCCAAGACAAAAATTCTAGCTTATTAAGCTCGTGCCTAGGTTCGTGACCATAACTTGGTTATAGTTAAGTTACGTCGAGGCCGAGTTCGAGTTCGAGTAATTAAATCTTCTGTTAGGGTCGATCTCATGAGTCGACTATCGAATAGTGTGGCATTATATAGTGGTTCGACTTGACTATATTACATCCCTAGGAAGGACTCCATCTTACAAGAGGGTAACAAAGGAGTTGTTCTTTTTTTTTTCCTATTTTATCCGTAACTTTTACTTTTCATTTTTAATCCTTTTAATTGATATCTATATAATCGCACGAGCATTCTTCTTTTTGGTTCTATTATTTGAGAACCTGGCTAGTTTTGATAAGGGATGGTATGCAGCTTATTTCATGAAACACTCTGATAATTATCGAAACTCATAAATTCCCAAAAGAGTTGGTGAGGGTTACACAATCAGTTTTTGATCTTTGGGCTTTCTGAGTAAAGGACAGATCAAACCAAAGTCCGAATCCGTTTCATGATTAATAGATGGTCCGGACAAGATTTTGGAGTATTGACGAATTTTATCGATAAACTTTCCGGGGCATTTATTGCCTACACAATTCGATGGGGGAAAAATTGTCCAAAATATCATAAATTCAATCGAATGGCATTCAACATGTACCGTCTCTACCAAAACGAGATCATTGTGAGTGCTCATCTTCGACTTTAAGTTGTATATTGAAACCCGGATTTGGGTTTGGGGACCTCCCGAATCTGACGGCGAACCGCTGCCACCGTACGGATCTCCGATTGTTCGTCATCCTCCATATTCATTCTGCCACGGGGGAAATCTACGCAGAGAATGATCTGTTCAAGTAAGGGTGACGATCCCAGTACAAAACCTCAGCAAGATGACTCTGCACAAGAAATGGCTGTGCACGTGGAGCTCTAATGATGCAACCCTAGCCGTACGAAACGACGAATGTTCGTCGTTCAAGAAAATGTGTATATATAAATTATTGTCGACGACGAAACATTGACTAATTATTACATTTGTTGGTTAACATGGTGCAATGCTCGAACTAAGTAACGACGCTCACAAGAAAGCGGCAAACAAGCAGAAGCGGATATCAGAACCCTAACCGAGTATATCGGCACGAATCAACGACCTCTATGTAACTTAATTCCCCTGTACAAACTACACGAAGCTCAAGAAGTACTGTGAAATGGCTGAAGACCGCGAGCGTAGATTGCGAAAACATTCGGCGGTAGAACCTGTAAGCTTCATGAATCGGAGAGTTGAATCGGGCTACTCGAGCGACGGATCCTCGAGACGTAATGGGTTGTAACTTTTCGGTATTCATATACAAAATGTGGAAACGCACCAAGATTTGACGCCTGTTCTAAGTGTTGTTCCCTCGTGCCTACACGCCTCAAACATCCCGTTCAGCTTAATGATGTCCCAAGGTAATGCTCATCTTCGACCAAAAAAGAAAAGAAAGTAAATGCTCATCAAAATTCGAGCTCGGATTGTGATCGATCTATTCGTCATTGCATTAGTGAGCTTAAGATATAATCGTTAGCCCCTTTTACGCATTGAATAAACACACGACGTTAAGCCGATCGATCGATCATGTCGCGTTATGTTTTGAACCTTGAATGTGCAGGACCCTTCTTGGGACAACAAACGAAAAATTAGCCTACAAGTTAGATTTACATTTACGACATGACATGACAATTTCGAAAGTGAATAATATTTAGATCTTTCCAGGCACCTTATAAGCATTTGTCGCGTCATATTAGACATCGAGTTTTGTAAGCCCTTCTTTATATCCAAGGCATTACGTTCTGGTTTTTACTCGTAGACCATATATTCCGGGGTAATTTACAAATTAATATTAATCTTGCTCTACCAATTGAGCCAAAAGAAGAAGAAGCTTTAGGTATCAAATTATTTGCAAACTGCTGCTTGAAGATTCTCCAACAAAAGTAAGAAAATCAAGGAGAGATGGATCGGGTTACACGAATTGTTACTCAACATTATTAGAATCGAGAGAACAAAATCTTATTAATTTCGTTGTCTTTTTCATGGTATGCATTTCGCCTTAATTTACTACAAAACGAACACACCTTACCTTCACTCAAGGTTAATACACGCAAGATAAAGTTCAATTACAGCACAAATCATCTAAGTATGTATAGGCTGGGGTGTCCTTTTATCCATCCCTCCCCAACTCCAACCCCAACCCCAACCCCAATTGAAGAAGCCCCTCGGCCGCTCTTTATCGCAAGCCCCGGTACACGCTTTGGTGCATGCCCGCACGCTCCTGCCCGAGTCCGTGCAAGTCGGGACGCACTCCCGGACGCACTCCGGTGTCGCGGATGCGGCGCATGCCATAAGAAGCACGGTGATCACGGCGATAGCGAAAATCGTGCTCCTCGTCGCCATTATCTTTTACCCCCCTTCTATTTGATTGGATTGCAAATGATGGCTTTGTAATGCTACGGGTGAAAACCCTAATGGGGTTTATGTAGAAGGGCTTACTCTTAACTGAACGTGCAAACAACCGTGCTTGCTAAGAGGGAAATGCTTGTGATTGCTGTTACAAAAATGATTTTCTGTGGCTTGGAGAAAAACATGGAGACAGATTAGGGCTTATGGAGTTGCACAAACATTTCACTGCCTTTCATTTTACTTATTTTGTTGGGAAGTTCAACCGGCTTCTGAATTCAGTTAAATTCGGAAAGAATTCCCTTTTTCGATTTCATTAAGGGATAAGTGCACTCAAGTTCAAAAAGTATAAATAAGTTTTGGAACTTATCTATTTTGTGCAATTGAGTATTGCGGCTAGTTTCATCCAATTTGAGTAACGGAAAATACCGAGCGGCATTATTATTATTATTTTTGCACTAGACGCGACAACGAAAGAAAAAGAACAAAAGATTAAAAAAGAGCCAGAAAAGAGTCATTTGGCCAAGTACCCCACAAGTTTTCAAGAACCAAAAAAAGTTATGGTCATCTTTTTTTAACAACAGTCTTTCGACAATAGTCACTGAAATTTACCCGCACAGAAAAAAAAAATCCATATTCTTGGCCATGGGACAGTTGAATGCTGCTATTGTAAAGTAAAAATTGAGGAGGGTGAACTTATTATTATTATTATTATTATTATTATTATTATAAGTACGTAATGACTTATACTCGATATATATAATTTAGATATGTTTTTAGATTATTAGAATCTGCTGGATTTATTAAGGTCCATAAGACCTTATCAAAAGATCCAATGACATTTAACGGGTTAGATAGACTCCTGATGATACGTTTGGCAGCCCATATTGAGCAAGGAAGAACTAAAGTAGATTTGCAGCATATATCGATAGGATCAAAGAATATCACGTGTTAGATCGGATAAATTCGGATTGGATAGTAGATTGAAATGTTTAATCAATTTCAATCGCCGTACTTGGTCTTGCAACGATGTTTAGACTACTCTCCCGCGGTAATTTAAGTCACCTTCTCGTATTTTAATTCGAAATCAAACGAAGTTGCGAGTGATCGTGTAGCGGACCCATAGCTTGCTCATCAACTGAGATGTGTAATTTTAGAGAATGATTAAAAGGAAGAAGAATCAATACGAATATGTCTTGGTTATAAGAGAAATGTAAGATGGACTTTCACCAAGCACAATAATACATTAAGATCCATCGTCTATATTCAACCCAAATCAAAGCCCGAGCTCGTTTTATGATCGATGGATGGTCCGGGCACGACTTTGCTCACGGCGGGCTGAAGTATTTGTTCACCACTTTTCTTTTTCTTTTTTTCTTCAATTAGAGTATTGAGAAAATTTTCTTGATAAACTTTCTGGGTATTCATCGCCAACATCGTTCAATAGGGAAAAAATGTCCAAAAAGTCCTAAACATATTGTGCGGCAGTTAATTCAGTGATAAACTTTCCAACTATGTCAATGCAGACCTAAACCTTTTCATGGTTTTTCAATGTAGTCCATCCGGCCTAAATTGGCCGGAATTCGCCGACTTTTAATAGTCCGGTCGACTTTTAGCAACCCAGTCAGCATCAACCTCCTTGCGTAGAACGACTGGCGATTTAACGTGGACCATATCAACGCAAACTCTACTTAAAGTGAACACCGGTGATGTTGTACGTGACCGATCTTCTTGTCCAAATGCCCACTTACACTTCGTCTTCACCGTCACCCTCACCTAACCTAGCATATTGAATTTACCAAATTACAAATAATTTGCTCATTTTTGTCAGAAATCGGCACATGCTACAAAAGCCATCTTGGTTCATACGTGAAGAAGGGAAGTACATCTAAAACACTTGTCCTGGCCAACCCCATCATCATCCATGCGGATCGTCTTGTCTGCATTACCCGCAATCATCTGCTCTTCATTAGGGTTCTGTCTCGCAAACTTTATGTGGAAAAAAAACACGATCTGACCTACGATCTTTCAGCCCACGCAAGTGCAAAACGCACGAAGCTTCATG